GTGTGGCCGGGTGCAGTGGTTCACACCTGTAATCCCAGCACTTTGAGAGGCCGGGGCAGGTGGATCACCTGGGGTCAGTAGTTCGAGACCAGCTTAGCCAACATGGTGAAACCCTGTCTCTATTAAAAATACAAAAATTAGCTGGGCATGGTGGCAGGTGCCTGCAATCCTGGCTACTCAGGAGGCTGAGGCAGATGAATCCCTTGAACCCAGGAGGTGGAGGTTGCAATGAGTCAAAATAGCATCACTGTGCTCCAGGCCAGGACACAAGGGCAAGACTCCATGTTAAAAAACAACAACAACAAAAGATTAGGTATGAAAATGTGATGTGTGTGTGTGGCACTTTTAGCTCCAATTGATCTTGAACTAAATGTATTCTCTTTTTTTGAAAGATAGTTGTGAACTACCGCTTTGCAGAGACCTGTACATAATCTGTTTTGTGCCAACTTCCAATGTGTGACATCAGTCAATTCTCATTCCCCTTTTTGAGTTAGAAGTGGAAATAAGTGTAGAAACTGAGGAATTTCTGCATTTTCTACTGGTTATTCTGCTTCATGCTTACAGCCTACCCCAGTGTGTGCAGTTTCAACCTCAGCATTAGTAATGTGCTCTGGTATACAGAACTGAGCATGGAGTGACCAGAAGGCAGGAGATCTTTTTCTTTTTTTCTTACTTAAAACTTTGCTTAGAATTCTCCATACAAGTCTATTCTTGCTTGCTCAAGGTGTTGAGTCCTATTGAAACCTCAGGCAGGGACTTGAAATTAGAGCTGAGTTGGATTGCAGTCTTTAGCCATACACTTGGGTTAGCTGCTTGGCCCATTGAGGCTGTTTGAAAAAATGAAAAAAAAAAAAAATACTACTGCTGATTTCCATGAGAATCAACTGAGATACTGGAAACAATGTCAAGGGGAATTGTTTCTAGTGAGAACTGCTCTTATGAAGAAGCAGGAAGACGAGGACCGGAGGGATTTGTTGGTGCACTTGAGAGGTCACTTGCAGCCCAGGGAAGACCTTAGGTGTTGGATTCAGCTTTCTTGGAGCTCCTGCATTGTTCATTCCTAGTTTATGGTCTTGGAAATATTGCCAACTAGTCTGTTTGCATGACGGAGCTCATTTGAGAACCTCTCATCTAGTCTAACATCAGGAAGAAAACTGGGTCTTGAACCGGATCTCCTGATTTTGGTCCAGCATCTATTTATTCCATCTTTTTCTCCAAAGTCAAATAATACAGTCTGCAGAGTATGAGGGTCAGTGTGTGCTAGAAATAGCTAAGACATCGCCTCCAAATCATTTTGGGTCCTGTGTTTGTCAAAAACTTCAACAATTCCAGATGCTCTCTAATGTGAGATTATTTTTTCTTTAAATGCAATTTTTCCCTTTAAATGTAAACTTCTGTTAAATACCCTTTAAATTTAAACAGCAGAGTTTATAGGATCTTTTTGTAGTTAATAGCTGTTGATACATTCAGCCAAAAATACAGACAGCACTGCCTTAGTTAACGCCTTCAGCTTGCCAAATGCACTTATTTGTGCATACGTTGTACCCCCAATTTAGAGAATAATTCCGAAACAGAAAGCTAGGGTGAGTGCAGTGTGTCTTTACGGCAACTACAAATAGTTTCTTCAGGCTACTCTCATCATTTGTGAAAACACATTTATTGCTTGTTGGAAAGAACAAAATGTTTGCCATAGCAACCATGGCAACCCTGGGTGTCTTCCCTATTAGCTGTAATGCGGGGAGCATCTTCAACAGCAGGAAAGAGAACTCAGCAATTATCACCCAGATAGCATCCCCCCATTTTAAGAGCTTTGGCTGAAGCTCTTGGACTCAGAAAAATTTTAACATGATGTGTTAATGAATGCTAGCAACAACTATTCCATTTTGGTTAATTTGGGGGAGATTAATAAGCTAAGTTTTTTACTGTGGGTGAAAGGGGGATGTGATTTTCTTTAGACAAATTTGCAGAAACCATTTTAATGCTAAATCATTCTCTATTTTTCTTTTTTGTTTTGGTTTTGTTTAGTTTTGATGAGTTTTTTGTTATTTTATTATTTGCAAGACAAAGTTTCTTGTCATTTTAGTTCCTTGCTTCCGTTCATCATGTAAGTTCTTATCATATGCTAATTATAATAGATGAAGAAAGGACTTTAAAGCATGATGAGGAAGTCTAGTTGCATTGAGGGTAAAAGGTAAATAGTTGAGGTCTAAAAATTTTCATTTTAAAAATAGTGATGGTCAAAGAAACATCAAAAGTTCCATATTATACCATCAGCTCCCAAATTGCTGTACACATTCTTTATGCAATAAATCACATGTGAACAATAAGATTCTCAGCATATAATAGAACATTTTGATAATGTAAGCTATGTCATATGTTAAAATCAGAAAAGTATAAAATCACTGTACATTCACCACTGAGATAAAAATCACCATATAAATTAATTTTCTACCATGTTTTAATATTGTTGAGAGAATATCATTTCAACAACTTCTTTATTTTTATTTTTTTACCTCATGAACTGGGCGGCAGAAGACATCAACTAGAAATTAAAAAATAAGTTTAGAATAATTTTGGATTTTTGGAAATGTAAAATCGTCCCCTCCATAAGCCTCTCTGTCAGTTTTGAGAAGCTAGAGAAAGGCAGAGGGCATTCAGAGTTGTGGTCATGTTGAGGAAGACAGAGTTGAATGATAAAAAGGTACTCCTGGATCTGGCACCTCAGAATCTCTGCTTGAATACCCACTTCAAGTGATTTTCCAACTTACTAATTTTCTGGAGTTTTATAAACTTTTTTTCTGTTGAAGAATGATTGAAAATAGCTGGATTTGCCCTATGTTTTAATCCTGGGTGCCAAATTTTCTAAATTGCTGGATTTCAGTTTCCTCAACTTTATGATGGAGATAATGCTCTTTACTTAAAAGGATATTGTATACTTATTCAAACAGGAAAAATTGCAGTGTCAAATAGAGTTCAATGTTCAATGACTTAAACACAACATGTAGTTAGCTCTCATTGATCTATTAGGTGAATGTGTTCAAGGAGGCAATTGCTTTCCTCCATGTGATGATGAAGGGATCCAGAATCTGTCTATGCTGTGATTCTGCCATCATCTAGATCTTGTTGTCAGCTGCGTCCGTCAGTGGTGGAAGAAGAAAGCAAGTGGAGAAGAGGGACGCTAGCCTGGAAGTCGCACATCTTATTCCCATTCACCTTCTTATTGGAGAGATGTTAACCATATGGCCATAAATATAAAAGTATGGAAAGCTGAAAACTCCCATGAAGCCATGCACCCTCTGCAATTCTGTTACCACAGAAGGAAGAGAGAAGAGAATATTAATTAATTAATTAATATTAATTAATGTGGCATATCTGCCACTGCATGCGTACGAAACACTTAATAAAACACATTCCACAGTAAATGCTAAGCACATTCTCTTCCCCTTCTTTCTTGCATTTGAGTCTTCTCAGAAAGGGTGAGAAAAAAAAAAAAAAACTTTTCTCAAACAAAAGCTGCTAAGGACTGGCTGTTTACTGAAGAAAATTAACCACAATTTTTAAGATGTACCTTAAAGTCTTCTATTATACCATCCTTAAAGACAGAATAGGATTGGATTTATGCCCTCTATCACTCTCTCTGCATTTCAGTCCTGTATTATGAGACACTCTGCATGGGGAGCAGAGGCTCAGGAAAGCTCTCAGTTACCAAGGAGATGTCCAAATGACTCCTTCCAAGGTGGTGAGAAAGTGTACTGAAACATCACTAAAATGGTTTTCAATGACATAGGTTGAAAGAAAAAGGTTATTGATTAACTCTCCTAAACTAAAAATTCAATTACCTCTCCCTGCCTGATGTCCTGAGTTGCTTCCATGCCATCCCTACCCATGGCATAAGACAGCCTGGAATAGCTCCCACTCGGGCTTCAGAAGATTTGTGAGATCTGAGATCAGTAGAAGTGAATATTGTCTCTTTTATTCCTATGAATGAAATGAAAACAGAAAATTTAGACTACAAGTCTTCCAACTAACAGAGAACTAATATTGATCTTCTGGAAATTTCATATGTGACAAATACAGAATTCTAGGGCCAAAAAGAGTTTTTGTATGTGTGTCAGAATGTCCCTGCATGTCTGGTATACTGAACCACACGAGAATCCAAGAATGTTAGAGACTGTCATGCCTCTGAGATTTGGTGTATGTTGTGCCCTCTTCCCTGGCTGATCTCCATCCAACTTTCCCCATTTTTTTCCTGGATATGGCTACACTTACCTCAGGTTTCAGCTATACCATTGCTGTCTCTAGAAGACCTCTCTGATCAGCTCCTGAGGCATTCTGTGCTCTGTGCACCTGCTGTTTACTTCTTGCGAGGGTTTCTTTTATATCACATTAAACGTTTTTGTCAGTATCTCTTTCTCTCTCTTCAGCACCCAGCGTGCTCCTGGTGCTCAACAAACAACTGCTGAATAAATGAATGATACTCTTCAAAGGCATAGTCAGTGTCCTTTCATCTTTGTATCTGCAGTACAATATCTTGTCCATGGCAGGTTCATAGTAAATATTCAGAGTAGAGGAAAAAGAAGGTAATGAAAGAACACTAAAACAAGGAAGAGAAGAAAGGAAGAATATAATAGTCAGAGAGAGCTCATGTAAGGCTAGTTCACACATATCTGCAATCAAAGGCTGAAGTCGTAAGAAGAGAAATAAATAAAACAAATTTCACTAGGAGTTTGTAAAATAGAAGTCGTAATGACCAAGGAAACAGGGACAGAAGCATGGAAGACACAGCTTTTGAAATAAGTCTTTAATCTATGAGAGAGATTTTGATGGAGGTGGAGAATGGAAAATACCAGGGGGTTAAGTACAGAGGCAGGGAAGAGTAGGGCCCGTTTGGGGGTAGACTCTTCTTAGTTGAACACTGTTTCATTTCTCTTTGATAATTGAAAATTGTAGCTATGTGAGACATTACTGCAACTCTCTCTCTCTCTCTGATCCTGTTCCAGGAACTGGCGGTTGGTCCCCAGCAGATTCCAATGCTCAGCAGTGGCTCCAGATGGACCTGGGAAACAGAGTAGAGATTACAGCAGTGGCCACGCAGGGAAGATACGGAAGCTCTGACTGGGTGACGAGTTACAGCCTGATGTTCAGTGACACAGGGCGCAACTGGAAACAGTACAAACAAGAAGACAGCATCTGGGTAGGACATCTTTTTCCTTCCAATGAATAAAACTGAGATGTGCTAATGGTAACTAGAGTGTATTTCCATCATTTTCCAATATCCAGGTTGTTGGTAGTTTAATAATTGTTGCATGCCCATTAGAAATAATTAGACAATGTGTAAGTCCCATGCCCAGCATGGCTCCAGTTCCTAGGAAAATTAGGATGTCTGTTGCAAATAGTTTAGTATGTTTCCCTTTTTGTCATAAACTGGGTAATTCATTGACTGAGTCTCACTTTCTTCATCTATAAAAATTAATTTAAAAACAGATAAATGCACCAACAAATCTGATGATTAATATGATTATACTGATTTACTGCTTATTGACTTATTTATTATTTTTTTATATCCCAGGCCTTCACATATTTTGCAACAACACAACTAGCTGAATTGCATCACTTGATTAATGTTTCCATATGTGTGAATCATGACTTGGGAATCTTAAAGTCTGCTCTGACTTTAAAACCACTAAGCAGTCTCTATCCTAGGTTCGCACATAATTGAAAACTAAAACTACAAAACAAATAGAAACTTTAGAATTATTATGCCATTGGAAACAATCTTCAGCTTCAGAGTGAAGGACAGTTTGCTCCAAGTTACAAAATCGAGCTTTCCTCCCCAATCCCAGCCCCACACTCTAGACCTCACTGTGTGGATAAAAGACTGTCAGCAAATTATTAACGGAGGCAAAGGTGAAGGCAAGGCAAATAGCAAAAGTCGCCTGGAGACAGCTTCAGAACCTCAGGTGCTGAATAAAATAAGCTGTAAGTTTATATTACTTTTAGTTCAGAAAATAAGTCACCATTTTTTAATCCAAATGTGCGTAAAATGTGAAGATTTGGAAATTAATAGCATATTATTTCCTTCTCAGACTCTCTCTGCTTAAATCAATGCCAATTAGTGTTGTCTTCACATTCACATTCCTGTGTTGGCCCCATCTCACTGATAAAAATGGAACAACTTCTATTTTATATATTCAGTGTTATTTATTAATTCCTACCTAGCACATGCGTTTGTAATTGAAAATAGTCATAAATTGAGGATTAAGATTAGTTACGGCAGACTGAATCCTAAGAATATTATTACTGTCATCTTTATTCTGGGTCACTTGTAATATTAGGTTCTAATATTTATAAAGGGTGTAAGTTTTCTTCATTTTTTAAAAAATAGTCTGAACATTGAGTATACATGGAAACAAAGAGGGGGAAATAGACAGACACCAATGCCTACCTGACGGGAGAGACTGGGTAGAGGGTGAGAACCCAAAATCTACCTATTTGGTACTATGTTCAAAACCTGTGTGATGAAATCATTTGTACACTAAACCCCAGGGACATGCAATTTACCCGTATAACAAGTCTGCCCATGTATCCCTTGAGCCTAAGTTGAAAAAGAAAATAAGTGTCTTCTGGGAACTATTTTATTTTTTCTCAATTTTGAGGTCCCCATAAATTATTACAGGTTTTCAATTTGTTTGACTTTTAGCTTGAGATAAAAATTAAGCACACCTTCCATTTTGAGGAACAATTTTAAGGTTTTTATGTTGACTTTAGAGGAACAAATCGATGTGAGTTTTTTTGTTTTCTCTGGTAGTTTTCATCGGGACTGGTTGTTTTTAGATTGAATTGCAGCTTTGAGTTATTGTGCCTAATTTATTTTAATCATGAGTTTCACTCTCTTTAGAACCAAATAAGCTGCTTTCATCTTAGCCCCTAGGTTGGGATGTATTTCAAAGGATGACGATTTCTCTGGGCTCATGAGCAGTGGGCGCAAGGTCTCTTTCACTTCCTTCACCTTGTCAGTTTATCTGTTTCCAAATGATTCCAAGCCCTTTAAAGGCAGGGATTTCTTTACATGTCCATTTAGCCCCTGTGCCCAATATCGCTAAACACATGGCAGGAACTAATTTTGGAGTGGTTATTAAGAGAACTGCAGAATTACTAGGGATCCCTGAATTGAAGGGTGGTGGCAGGAGACCTTCCTCATCCCCTACCTTGCATCCCAAACAGCCTTGACATGGTAGGGCAGGTGCAAGATGCTGGATGGACAGAGAAGGAAAGGCTGGGCCCTCCATGCACAGTGAGGCAGGAAATTCCAGCAACAACTTCCCCAGAGGTGGCTGCAGGACATTTCGAAGAAAGGCAGCTTCAGGAGCAGCCTTTGATTAAGCAAATGCAGGGAGAAGTGATTTGAGGAGGGACCATTACAATAACTTCCAATTTAAGGAGTAAAATACATGGCATTAGGCAAAAGTACCATGACAGGTCATGTGCAATAACTAGGCTCTACCCTGGAAAAATTGGTGTCCCCTTACTTAATACTAGGAAAACTAACAGTTACTAAGCACCCATTACACGCCATATGTAAGCAAATGTAATTCTCTATGTAAATTAATAAGTGTCATTCTATAACCTGGTGATTCAATGTTAACATCTCCATGAACAAGAGGCATGAGGCTCTTGTGGGTTATGGCAGGCTGAATCCTAAGAATTCAGTCTTTGAGCCCAATCCAAGCTCACACAACCAGAAACCGGTGGCCATATATTTCACAACTAAGATTTATTCCTAAATATATGTGGTTGCAAAACTGTAGCTTCTATTCTCTTTTAGTACAACGATTTTTTTTTTTTTTTTTTACTTTTCACAAAATAGATTTACTTTTCTCACCTCAAATGTTAATTTTGTCAAGCCAACTCCTTAAGAATAATATTAAGCCTTATTATTTAATTCATATATTGCTAAATATAAAAGTGTGAAGGTACCACTAATACCCATTTGTATTTGTATATGTTGTAAATAGTGCTGAAACTCTAAAAACATCTCAGATTTCAGGGTGTTTTACAAACACTTCACAGAAATTTGTGAAATTTGCCTTGTGGCTAATATTTATTGGTACTTTCATCAGATTATCCTGTTGAATGAAAGAGATTATCTTGAGAGCTTTTCTTTTTATTTTTTATTTTTTATTTTTTATTTTAAATTAGAAGACTCTGGATTCACCGAAACTAAGCCTTAGAACAAAGAAAAGAACAATAGTCAAACAAAAGGTCTTTGTTAAACTGTCTAAATTGTTTGGTTTAACTTTTCAGAAAAATTCAATACCTAAAACATCAAGTATTGGTTTAAAGGTGGTGTATCAAGAAAATGGACAGTATATATATGTATGGATGTGTATTTATATATATTTAAATCTATATTTATATTTATATTTTTGAAGATAGGATCTCAATCTGTTACCCGAGCTGGAGTGCAGTGGTGCAATCATAGGTGACTGCAGTTTTGAACTCCTGGGCTCAAGTGATCCTGCCACTTCAGCCTTTAAAGGAGCTGGGACTACAGGCATTCACCACCAAGTCTGGATAATTATTTTTAAATTAAAAAAAAAAAATTGTAGAGATGAGATCTCACTATGTTGCCCAGGCTGGTCTCTAATTCATAGGCCCAAGGGACCCTCCCACCATGACCTCAGGATCACAGGCTTGAGCCACCACACCTGTCCAGTGAAGCAGAGCATCTCTTGAATACTTACTTCCACCTGGTCTTTTGTGGATTCTCAAATTTTAGATAATATGTAATTTGTAGTGCTGTTTAAAATTGATTTACCAAACAATATACAGCACATGCTGTGGATGGGACAATCCATTCACCAATACTGAAGAGATTTATTGTATTTTACAAGGTTTACTTCAGAAAAAGAATTCTAAAGGGACTCCTTCCCAATGATTGGTAGGATGCCCTAAAAATCCAATTTGGAGAGTTTCTGATCTGACACTGCATGGAATGCTTATGAATGAGGCCACTAGACAGCCACGTAGTGATGCATCATGATTAATGCACAAGACAGAGTCCCTCACTTCACTGAATAATCAGGCATGAAGGTGTGTCAGGGACAAACCCACCAACACTGTTCAGAATCCTAGCAGCTCCAAAGCCTCTCTTCCTGATTGGTGTGCAGACATGCCGAATCAACACAAATGTTAAAATTCCAACTCTGGGCAGCAATGTGAGCCAATGCTTGGTAAAGTGGGTAAACCTGTTTGAAACAAAGGAACCTCTTAATTATGTCCCCTCAGACCAAGTCCTGTTAGCAGTCATTTTGAAAAATATGCCAGAAGAAACATGTACTGTCCCTGTTATGTCCATGAATAACCACAACTGTTGAGCGGTTTCCCTCATGAGCACAGTTCCCACACTGTCAGTGAGGTTCTTCTGCACTAATTCAATGTCCCCATATCCTCAGCTGCTCATCACATGGCTGATGGCAAGCCCCCTCTGTAGCCTATCTGTGAATATTCTTTATTTTATTAATATTCGACTTGTAGCTTTCTCTTATTAAAATTATGTCACCTCTCCCAAAACAGGCAAAACATATAGTCCTTTATTATAGCTGCCTTTGGCCTATGCACTCCTGATGGTCTGTGATTTCCTGTGGCTTTCTGGAATCTGTCTTAACATGAAAGTTTCATTTGTTACCCAGCAGTTTTCTCACACAGAGGTCAATTCAAGCAATGGATTATACATTTTGGTCATCAGTTCCCCTATTTCATCCTTGAGTGACTTCCAAATTCTCTAGGAGATGCTTTCTGATCTTCATGATTTATACACATTTATTCCACCAATTTGGCCTAGAACATACTGAGTATTGATCACTGTTTGATATAGTATTTTAAACCTACCAATTTCAGAAAACAATTTGAGAGTGAAAATCTCATTACCATCAACATATATCTTTTAAGCCCTCATTATACGCCAAGCACTGTGCAAGGTGCTAGGCTTACAAAGGGGCTAAAGCTGTGGTTTTTCCCTTCTCTGGATGTGCAGAACCATTAGGGAGACAAATCAATGGCATGCAACACAGTATATGTGTATACGGGTAGCATGGCAGCAATTCACATGCACAAAGCTTGTCAGAGAGGGTATTCCTGGCAATATATGAATGTGAGGGGCTTAGACCAGGTGAACCAGAAGGGACCATGTTT